GCAGTTCCACTCTGTTCTCTAGGGGCGCTGTGGGTCAGAATCAACTCCACAGCAGTGGGTGTGGTTTGGGCTTTGCTTCAAGATTGACAGCCTTGGAAACCCAAAGGGGGTTGCTATGAGTCAGCATCAGCTCAATAGCAGTGAGTTAGTGAGTCAGTTTGTTAGTCTTGTAAAAATGGTGACAGTCATGCCTGGCTTACCTGCACGGATCTTAAGCATGGCAAATGTGTAATCTGAATTGGCCTTACCCTGCCAGGAACCCTTGGTCTTGCTTAACTCCTTACTTTCAGTTGATTTGAGTTCAGTGAAATACTTATTTTGGGAAAATACACACAGCAGAACGTACACCTGTGGAAGAGTTTTTCCACGTACAGTTCAGTAACATTGATTACAGTCTTCTCCATGTTGTGTCACCATCCTTATTATCTCTGTGTATATTGGCCACCACCATTGACTTAGGCTCACTGCCCCTGTACTTGTGCTTACACTTGCTGTTGTCAGTTGGACCTCACATAGATAGTTCTTCAAAAGAGTACATAGCTCAAAGCCAACAGAATTCAAAGTACCTTCAGTAAAAACCCAAACACAACTTACGGAGGCAGGTGGCTTCTGCCTGTAACTTCAAACATTCTCAGGCCAAATTGGAATGGTTGTCCATTTCTCTGTTGAGCAGTCCTGTTAGAATAAACACTGAGAATGAACTTCCTAAGACAAGCAGAGCTTAAGGTCAGAGGTTCTTGGTGAGGGAGGCAGCGGACAGCCCTGCTGGTTCTGAACCTGTGGCAAAGCACTTTGAAGCCTCTGACCCTGAGCTCGTCAGACAAAATAAAGCAATTCGACTTAAAAAAAAAAAAATGATATGGGTGAAAGTCTACACAGCCAAAGATAGACCATTTCAAGGACTTCTGTGTGTACATTTTGGTGACGCCGGTTACATTGTTGCAGTCTGCTGCCATTCTCACCATCCTTTTCCACCACCATCATCTGAAACTCACTGCCGCCTAAGCTTCCCTTCCAGCCTTTGGAGTCACCATTATCAGTGTGATCCCACAGAGCACATTCTTGCAGTGTTCAGAGCAGACAGACTGTGCTAATTAAGATAAGCTGTTTTTTGGTTCAAGGGAGACTAAAGGGGAGATTGTTTTGGTTTAAGGTTTAAAGATGACCTCAGGGCAGTAGTTTTAGGGGCTGTAGAAAATCTTATTCCATTGAGAATTTAAAGTTCTGTTCTACATTTTCCCTCCTTTTGACCAGGATTCTTCTAAACAATCTCTGATCAAAGTATTCATTCAGTATTGGGGACCATCCAGTTCTTCTCGTACCATGGCAAAGGAGGCAATTGTTTGTAGAGGCGACCAGACACATATTGGATCTACTCTTCCAGGAAATCAGCCTTATTTGATGATCTTTCTTTCCAGTTGCCATCTGGTCCACAGTTCCTTTCAGGTTGCCACCTATACGCTTTACTTCTCTCTGCTTCCATTGTCTTTCATGACTCTTAGGTGAGGGTACAATAATGCAAAGGAAATGATTATCCAGAGTTATTTTATTCTCCACCTCTTAGGAAGGTTGAGAATCAGAATGGAGAAACAGCTGAGTTCTCTTTCATATTCTTCCCCATGGTTGTTGCCTACTGAGTGAGTGTTTATTTACAAAGAGAGGTTAGTATGTATATTTGATCTTCAAGTATGGGAATTCTTCTCTGTCACTTTACATTAGGAGAAGGTCATCCTTCTCGGTTGTTAAGAGCAGAGGTTATGTCGTGTTCATCTCTGTCTCCCCTGTAGCATCTGGGCAGTACCTTGATAGACTCTCAATCAGTGTCTGCCAAAGGGAATGGAAATGCCATACCACGTGGACATTTTCATGACCAGTGATTCCAGTAATACACAAAGAACATGTTGTTGTTGTTGTTGTTAGGAGCTGTTGAGTCAGCTGCGACTCACAGCAACCCTGTGAGGCCTATGAGGCCCGGTCCTGTGCCAGCCTCACAATCCTTGTTATACCTGAGCCCATCATTGCAGCCACTGTGTCAGTCTGTCTTGTTGAGGGCCTTCCCCTTTTTCATTGAGTCTCCACTTTACCAAGCATGATATCCTTTCTCAGGCAATGGTCCCTTCTGACGACATGACCAAGGTGGGTGAGACAAGAACATATGAAACGAAAAACCAAACTCACTGCCGTCAAGTCGGATCCAACTCATAGTGTCCCCTCCTTGGCTATCTGAGGCAGTATCACTACAGAAGTAGATTGCCCTACCTTCCTTCTGAGGAGTGGCTGGTGGGTTTGAACTGCCAGCCTTCTGGTTAGCAGTCAGATGCCTTAGGCATTGTGCTACCAGAGCTCCTTGATACTTACTACATCATAGTGAAAATGTCAGTAAAGTTGAACCAATGCACTTTTTTAGAAATTTTTATTGTGTTTTGGGTGAAAGTTTACAGAGCAAATTCACTTTCCATACAGCAGTTCACATACACTTTGTCTCTTGACATTGACTGCAATTTCCCACAATGCAACAGCTCCCCTCCCACTTCCTCCCCATAGTCATCTCTTCCCTGTGTCCATCCCTCCATGCACTCCTGCCCCCCGAGCTGTCTCCCTGTGCATACACAGCCCTTCTTTCTCCCATGATTGTTCTCTCCAAGGAGTGTATCTGCCTAATGTAAATGTTCACTGAAGTAGTGAACTTGATAGCTAAGGAGCAAAAACAAAACCGAGGGCATGTTTTGTAGTCTTTCTGATCTGTAGATAGACGGAAACCCCCTACCTGGGTGGGTGAGGGGATGCCAGTGCAGAGCCCAGTGCAGCATTTGTGCTGGTGGCGGTTGGGTGCCATCGAGTCAGTGCTGAGGCACAGTGACTCCGTGACAGCGGAAGTGCCCCCGGGGTTTCCTGTGCCGTCATCTCTCTGGGAGCTGATTACCAGGTCTTTCCCCACAGAGCCGTGGGGTGAGCTCGAGCCACTGACTTTGCAGTTAGCAGCCAAGCCCTTAACCACTGTGCCACCAGGACGCCTCAATACATTATTTACCAAGCCCAAAAACGTTACGCCCTTTCCCGGGACCAGCCCTCTCGTTGAGCTGATGTTCATCACCTCATGGGAACCGTAGTCCCTTTCTAGTCTGCACATGACTTTGGTCTTTCACTCCTCCATTAGGCTTCCGTGAGGACACTCCATTGGTCCAAAAGTGTCCATTCAGCCTTTACCATTTCAAAGCCTATGACTAGTGATTTGCGTTCTAGGCGACAGTCTGTGAGGATTTAGAAGTAAATGGGTAAATCTTTTTTTTTTTTTTTTGCAATTTTAAGTATGAAAAACTTCCTAGCTTTTTGCATTTTGTTTGTATACAAGCATTCATTACTTTTTTGGGCCAGGTTTTAAGAACTCTCAGTAATTTGTTTCATAGTGTTAATATTTCTCATTAAAAGAAGACAATAAACAACATGCTGTTCAACTGTATCCATGTCCATTACATGTATGAGAAATTGTGCTTTTGGAAAATGCCCTTGAACTCACAGGCGCCAGACCACTAATGTTTCTTTAGAGGTTATTTGGTCTAACAGCATTACTTGTTGTTGGTGTTATGTGCCGTCAAGTCGGCCCCAACTCATAGCGACCCCTCCTTGGGTTTCTGAGGTGGTAGATTGCCCAACCTTCCTTCTGAGGAGTGGCTGGTGGGTTTGAACCACCAGCCTTCTGGTGAGCAGTCAAGTACCTTTGGCACTATGCTACCAGTGCTCCTCCTATAGTAGTACAAAGAGCTAGCAAAACAGTACTGTGGGGTGAATTAATGACTTCCTTGTTCTTCCTTCATTCTCTGAATTAGAAATTGCCAGACCTGAGAAATACGTAATTCACAAACACCCATGACTGTCTCATGAACTCGTCCACCTCCGGTCTCCTTCACCACCATTTGGGGCTGCAGACCACAGTCTCTGAGCCCAGCCACCCTTGCTCTGTGTCCTTGCTAAGCAGGCTCCCATTACCAAATGGCCGCCATCACCTTGGGCCCTAACCCAGAGGGACAGCTCCAGCGTCCACCTGCTCCTCTCACTGACGTGGGGCTGAGCACCTCAGACAGTGTAGGACGTGCAACCTCGCATCTCAACTTCGTGTCTGTGATTGTTAGGCCGGCAGCATGAGATAAATAAGCCTGAAACCTTCGTATGAGTCGGATGTCATAGCCCCTGGTCTCCTGAGGACCTGCCTTCCTGTTATTTTTCCACTCTTGCTGGGGCTCAGCAAGGGGAGAGCCTTCTGGTCACCACTGCTGCGTGCGCTCTTTGCTGAATGAATGGAATAACTGAGTCACTTCACCCCTCTGAAGGACCTCAAGGGTGTCTAACAGTCCCGTGTCCTATTGCCGGCTGACGTCCCCTTTTCTTTTGCAGACTGCTAGCACCTTGGCCGTGGCTGACTCTAGAGTTTCTGGAATCTACACTTGCATGGCTTTCAATAAAGTAGGGACGGTCGGAAGGAACATGAGCTTCTATGTCACAGGTAAGCCACGCATCCTGCACCCTAAAAACAGCTTGGTGACCTCAGTCTCTTAAGTCTTGTTTGCTTTTAGTGCACTTATGCTTAAGTGGTTTTTATTTTTAAAAAAAAAAAAAAAAAAAAAAAAAAGCCACTCTGTAGAATCGCCAGACTTTGAGGACCTTCATCCTCACCCTCAGGAATTAGAACTCTGGGTCATCATCGGATCTCTTCAAGAGTGACTTCCCTGAATTCTCTTCGAGTTCTTTGTGTGGGTCTCCCTCCTGGGGTCGACTGGGGCTTTGGGATCATTGCATGTTCTTTACTGAACTCCCTTTGGCACGGAGCACAGGGTCTGACCCTCAGGAGTTGGCTTGCTAACAGTCCAGGAAACAACCTATAGTGCATATGATAACATGATTTTCTATTTTTATTTTTTAAATTCCAAGAAGAATTGCTTCACGACTTAAGTAATTTTAACCTTGGGGCCTGGAGGCTCTTCTAGGAAAAATCCCAAATTGAGCCTTGTTAGTATCCGTCAGTGTGCTGTTTTCTGGTAGCATTTAAAAATTTTTCGCCTTCAATAGGATGGTGTCTGCAAATCAGAAAACCTCCAAGGTACACAAGTGACACTCCCTAGGTCCTTCCATGAGCACAGGAAGGAAGTAAGTAGCTCAAAGTATGAAAACAATTGCCTGGCTCCCTACTCCCCTAATTTCTGAAGAAACCTGGGCAGTCTGCCAACTAAGCTCTCTGGAAACTTTGCACTGTGTGGGGCAGGCTTCAGCCCTTTAGCCGTTGCCTCGAATTCTCTGGAAAGAAACAGGGAGGTCTGGGCTCAGGAGACGTGCAGGCTGTTGGATCACCTGAGAGGAGGCCCTCGGCAAGGTAGCCCAGCCCCAGAGAAGCTGGGCCATGGGAGACACCCTGAGGAAGTCCTCAGAAAATGTTAGCGCAGGAGGGGATGGGAGAGGTGAGACACATGATCGCTCCCTGTCCTGGTTCCCTGGTGCCGCTCTAACAGGAACATACCACAAATGGGATGGCCTTAACAAACAGGAGTTTATTCTTACAGTTTAGAGGCTTTAAGTCCAAGTTCACAGTGCCAGGCTCTAGCGGCTGGGTGAAAGCCCCTCAACCTTAGGGTCCAGCTCTCCCTCCTGCTTCTGGCCACTGGAGCTAGAGGCGTTTCTTCACTCAGACAGCTGCTGGCTGCTGAGGCTGAGAAGCCCCAAGGTTGACAAGTAAAAAGGCACAGTCTTGATGTTACCAAACCACACGGCAGGCCATTAACTTAAGTCCATTGTAAGTCCCAAGGTTGGCAGAGCATGGCAGGCTGCTGAGCAACGACACAGCTCCATGCAGGGTCCAAGTGTGCTGTAAGCTAGAGACCATTCCCAAGGCTTCTCCTTATATACAGGAAGGAGACCACATCCCAAAGGCAGCTACTCAGCTGCTTGTGGTAGATCCCACCATGGAGTCGATTGCCAGTTTCATCATGGGGAATACTACTACATCCAGCTGCTCAGCCACTCAACCAGTCCTAATCAAGTTGACATACAAGCATAACCATCACATTCCCTCAGCTGCATGGGACAGAGGAGGAAACAGGAATTTGAGAGGTGAAGAGACTCAGCAGAGTGGCTCTAGACCACCTCAGTCCCCTGTCCTTTCATATCAGAAACAGAGGAAATCATCCTTGCCTCCACTCCAAGGAGTTAAAAAAAATTCCTTTATGTAAAGAGGATTCAGTAGAGAGTTCAAGTAGATTGGCTTTCTGATCAACCTCAGATGGCTCAGCCTAGTTTAAGTAAGTACCAAACAAAAAAAGCACCAAACTCACTGCCATTGAGTTGATTCTGACTCACAGCGACCCCCATTGGGTTTCTGAGGCTGTAAATCTTTAGGGGAATAGATTGTCCCATCTTCCTTCCACGGAGCAGCTTGTGGATTTGAACTGCTGACCTTCTGGTTAGCAGCCAAATGCCTTACCCACTATGCCACCACTGCTCCTTAAGTGAGTACAGGGGTTCATGTTGCCATTGTGTTGAACAAGAAATGAGTTAGTATCCAGATCCACAGCCACTATATGTGTCTGGGTCAGAGAACATAAAAATCGAGCCACTTCTGTTCTGCTCTGAAGGGCTGTCCAACAAGGTGGTGAAAGTTTAATGGGTGCTAACTATTACGTGGTAGAATTCAACTCTGTGCCGGACACTTGGAGGGATGGTCACGTAGCCCCATCTTCCCAGGACGATGGTTCTAGTAACGAAGAAATGAAGAAGTCATCACGTCCACTCCAGAATCAAAATACGTGTGCAGAAGTAATGTCATGGATATCACAATTTCAACACATAATTCACATTTCTAAAAGTATACATACACTGCTTCACTCTTTCTGTCAATTCAAAGCCAGTCAAACCAACTGAATTCAGCTCTTCAGTCACATTAGCCATACTTTACATGCTCAGTTGCCCCTTGTGGCCGCGGGCACTGTATCAGTGCTTGCTGAGTCTCTGAGGAGGAAGCAAGACCTGAGGTGGTCCTTCAGCAGGCGGGGGGTGGGGGTGGGGGAACAGAGCTTGAATGGATGGAGAGAAAAGTCAGGCTTGCCCTGACGTTTTCAAACCCAAGGCAAGATTACCAAGGGAGACCCACAAGCCATATATCTAACCACTCACAAGTTCTAAATTAAGCTAAACCAAAACCAAACTCAGTTGCCATCAAGTCAATTCCAACTCAATGGGCGACTCCCTTTAGGTTTCCAAGGTGGTAAATCTTTATGGAAGTAGATTGCCCAGTCTTCTTTCCAGGGAGTGGCTGGTGGGTTTGAACTGCCAGCCTTCTGGTTAGCAGACAAATGCCTTAGGCAGTGTGCCACCAGAGCTCCTAAATTAAGCTAACAGGGTGCTGAATAGGTTCCAACTTCCTGCGGACAATTGTACCTCCTTGATGACCTGAAGAGCTAGGTACAGATTGAGAATTCTGGGCACCTCAGGGTGTCACAGCAGAGGGCCTGGCAGCATGGAAGGGCTGGCCCCCGGCTCACCTGTCTTCTCTCCCACGCCTCACTCACCCACATTGCGCGTGGCCATGCCTTCCAGTGGGCGGTCTTCTCAGCCCACCCACCCACAGCGTCCACACCCTTCACACACAGTCTTCCCGTGGCCACTCCTGGAGTCTGGAAGTGTGCACACACGTAGGGTCATTTCAGGAGGACAGGCCTGGCAGGCCTAAAGGCAGACTTGGGATCACAAGAACAGGGAATTCTGGGATCCCAGGTACCCTGACCACTATTGGGAAGTGGGGAGGCATAGGCTCTGGGTTCCCCATCGATTCTTCACACTTGCAGCCAGAACAGAGTCACCTGGAGGCCCAGGATAGGAACTCCTCTTGTCTGGGTCTGAGGGATGTGCTGGACGAAGATGTGCTAAGAGTGGGGAGCATCATGCTCTTTGCCTAATTGTCCAGAGAGTCCCCAAGAAAGGGCCACTGATGCCCAGAGTTAACCACGGCACCAGCATCTCGTCCTCCCCATGGAAGTTTTGATTGTTACACCCTATTTTTGCACAGCACACATGACATAGACCCTAGCTGATAAATCCGAACACCTCCTGAGTTTGGCCGGAATCTCCTCCCACCCCACCATCACGGTATCCGGTGTATAGCCGTGGAGTGCTTGAAACCTGTTCCGGATCCTCAGCCTTGCCCATGGACAGGACTCACTAGCATTCAACTTGAACATCCCTACATAACTACCTGGAGAAGCTCCCAAGGCTTAGCCTCTAGAAACTCAGGAACTTTACTCTTAAAACCAAGCTCAAGCTCAGCCCATGAAGCCCCCTGTTACCTGGACTAGACTTTCTCTGAATTGAAGATTATTCACCAGTTCTGAGAAGTTCTAGCTTAGATTGCTGGTGGTGGAAATTTTGATTGCATTCGTGTTTCTAAACTAGCTCTGATCTTTTTGTCTCAAGATGTATTCTCCCGAGATTAAACCCTCTGAGCAATGTTGCCCTGTACCTGTTTCTTTTCTGAACAACGAATGGATATCGCTCCAGTGTTTGCACTTAATTCAGGAAGGGGAACGCTTTTGAACGTGCCTGTCTAAAATTTAACTGCCCTACATCAAAAGATCTTGATTGGGTCTTGAGAGAGCCTCATTTCAATCATGTTACCCATCTTTAAAACACAGTCAGCACTTAGAGCTGCCTTCCAAAGTGATGAAAAACAGTTCACTGTGGCCCTTGGGGTCCTCCCCTGCTCCCACTAAGCTCTGATCATTGGGGTCCTCCTCAGGCCCCACTGAGCTTTGGCCAATGGGATCCTCCACTCATCCCACTAAGCTTTAGCCATTGGGATCTGTTCTGGTTCTCTAGTGCTGCTCTGACAGAAATAGACCACAAATGCAGTGGCCTTACCAAACAGGAGTTTATTCTTACAATCTGGAGGCTTTAAGTCCACGTTCCAAGTGGCAGGCTCTAGGGGCTGGGTGAAAGCCCCTCAACCTTGGGGTCCAGCTCTGCCTCCTGCTCCTGGCCCACTGGAGCTAGAGGCGTTTCTTCACTCAGACAGCTGCTGGCTGCTGAGACTGACAAACCCAAGGTGACAAGTCAAAAGGCACAGTCCCGATGTTACCAAACCACACTGCAGGCCATTAACTTAAGTCCATTGTCATTGTAAGTCCCAGGGTCGGCAGAGTGTAGCAGGCTGCTGAGCAATGACACGGCTACATGCAGGGTCCAAGTGTGCCACAGGCTAGAGACCATTCTCAAAACTTCTCCTTACATACAGGAAGCAGACCACATAGTCAAAGGCTACTCAGCTGCTCATAGTAGATTCCACCATGGAGTTGATTACCAGTCTCATCATGGGGAATACTAACTACGTCCAGCTGCCCAGCCACTCAACCAGGCCCAGCCAAGCTGACACACAAACATAACCACAGGATCCTCTCCTGGTCCCACTAACCTCTGGCCAATGGGATCCTCCTCTGGTCCTGCTAAACTTTGGCCACTGGGAACTTCCCCTGGTCCCACTGAGCTTTGGCATTCACTGGTACATAACATCTACTTGGAAGAAACGAACTTTCTAGTAGCTACTCATTTTCTTTTTAAAGAACACTATTTCCTTACTCCAGTGTGAACAAACTGCTCAGGGAAATGGTGTTCTCATTTCTATGTGACCAATAAGACCTCATTCATCCTTTTCTATTTCTGCACTTGGTTCTTTCATGAACTGAATCCACAGGTGTGACCCAGTGTTGCCCAAAATATCCATCCTCCCCATACACACTTCTGTAAGGAGGTCACTTTTTGCCTGACTGTGGGCTGAATGTCCCTTTTGAGCGTGGATTCCTTTTCCACGGGACCTCTTCAGATGCCAGGGGTGGGAGCTGTGCCCGTCAGTGATGAGGACAATGACAGTGACCGTGACAATCACCATGACCCTGTTCAATCTCCTAAAGGTCCTGAAGTGGGGAAGACATCTTATTTTCACTTTGGTTAGAAGTGGGTCTGCTTTTATACTCAGGCTTAAAAAGAGCCAACACGAATTAAGGGGAAATCCTTCTGGATTCATTAAATCACTTAGGACATTTTATTGATCCTCTTCCATGGAGCAAAAGGGGATACCAAAGGGGCTGTCTTGAGAAACAAGAGAATCATTTGAAAGAGGCTGTCTGTTAACAGAAGCCAGATTTGCTTCAGTGACAGTGTCGTGTCAGTTTCCCCCCGTTCCTCCCCTTCCCCCTGAGAATAAATGGGCCTGGTCCTCTTTTCCAGAGTGGGTGTTTGGCTGCTTGGCTGGCACTCGGCGTGCCCATGGGTGTGTTAGCAATTACTGAGGGTGAGACAGGAACAGCATTGCCTTATCGCCCTGGCTTCCCAGTGTCACTAAATGCATTTTATTTTGAGATTCCTGGTGGTGCTTGGCAAAGATAAACAAAATCTGCCATCAGGAAACCTGTGAGCTATTTCCACAGGAAGTTTCAAATCACTGAAGTAAATAGAAACTCTGCACATGAGCTCAGTGGTGTCAGTTGGGTCCACTTGGGGTCGAACAAGCAGGAGACCTCGTAAATGGAGAAGCTGTGGTCTTTTAAGAAGTGATCAGTGGCAGCCAGGGCACGAGATGTCTGCTCTGGAGTCTGTGTAAAAGCTGATGGTGACCTCACGCCTCGTGCCTGGAGATGTCCCAACGGGACAGAGATGTTGAATTAGAGGCGCTGCTGCTGCTGCTACTTCACTATTATGTTAAGGAGCCCTGGTGGCACGATGATTGGCTGAGAGTTTGGCAGTTCGCGCCTACTTGGCAGCTCCCTGGGAGAAAAACTGCTCCCGTCAAAATTGCAGCCGAGGAAACCCTATGGGGGCAGTTTTGCTTTGTCACATGGGGTCACTAGGAGTCGGAATTGACTCTCCGGCCCCAGCAGCAACATTGCCATGTTAAAGGCGACTGTCAGAGGCTCACGCATCTTCTAGAACATTCGTAGCTTTTCGTCTTGAAAGCAGGAAACCTACACTGGTCGCCTCTCTCTCCCCAACCACTGACAGCTTCATAAGCTGCTGTGACCCACGGCCCCCAGGCTCCTAGTGAACACTTGGCATTCCTTCAGACGTGACACTTTATAATAAAGCCAAAGCCCTGCAGAATCAGAAAAACAAGCACAGGGAGATTTAGGAAAGGAGTTGATACGACAGCTAATTTTGGACTATTGTCCCCTTCAGGTTTAAAGGTTTCTTTAGAGCTTTGTGTGCAAAGGATAATCATAATAATAATAACATAACATAATGCTTTTCATCTTCAAAGTTCTTTGTAAAATGTTGGCCCAAAGTCTTTGCTCAAATACAGACGCACCACCAGTAACTAGTGATGGGCGGGTTCTGAGAGCAGGTCAGTTCAGGGCCGGTAACCAATAAGTGTTTACAATCTTCTGGTGAAACGGCCCAAGATGGCAGACAGAGACCTCTTGGCCCCAAAGTTCCATGCTGGTCCAGGGGGGACTCCAGGAGAGGAACAATTGGCGTTCCGTCAGAGGTGGGGGTGAAGGCTGGCTGGGGCTTGATATTGGAGAAAATGGTCGTTAATGACACAGTCCCTTTTAGAGAAGGTTTAAAGTGTTTTTGAGAGTAAATTAATTTTTTTAAGTGACTTTCCATGCATCCCCACGCCCCACCCCACTGTGGAATCTGGCAACTCCTGAAGATTCGTTTCAGAAGAAACCTTTGCTGTTTTCTGTCTGAGCTCACTGTATCGACCGGTGGCTGTCTTCTGAAACAACAGTGGGAGGGGCTGGCCATCAATCAAATGGCAGGAAATTTGGGAAATCAGTTGTTTTTCACTGGAAAAGTTTAGGACTGAAGTGGGGTTTACCACTAAGGAGTTCTAGTGGCATTGTGGTTAAAGCATTGGGCTGCTAACCAAAAGATCGGTGGTTTGAACCTACCAGCCACTCCACAGGAGAAAGATGAGGCAGTCTGCTTCCATAAAGATGACAGCTTTGGAAACCCTATGGGGCAATTCTACTCTTTCCCTAGGGGTGCCATGAGTCGGAATTGAGGCCACGGCAGTGGGTGTGGTTTGGGCTTTGCTTCTGTGAAGATTGACAGCCTTGGAAACCCTCTGGTGCAGTTCCACTCTGTCCTCTAGGGGCGCTGTGAGTCAGAATGGACTCCACGGCAGTGGGTGTGGTTTGGGCTTTGCTTCTGTGAAGATTGACAGCCTTGGAAACCCTCTGGTGCAGTTCCACTCTGTCCTCTAGGGGCGCTGTGAGGCAGAATCTAGGGGCACTGTGGGTCAGACTCAGTGGCAGTGATGTGGTTTCTTTTTTTTTTTTTTTTAAGTGAGGTTGATCAGCTTCATGAAATCTCCTGGCATGTGGGACTTCCTATTCTCAACTTGCTCCCACTCAACAACCTGTTCTGGTTTAAGCTTGACCAGAATAGTATCCTTGCTTTTAGTACAAACGGCTCTTCACTCTTCTGCCCACTTCAGATGCCCATTTGCTAGAAGTGATGTATGTGATAAGGAGATGCAAGACATACTTAATCACCCCACGCTGGAAAGAAAAACATTCCACTTTGAAGAACAAGTGTGGGCAGATGAGGAAAAAGTACTATCCTTGTGTGTAGCCTTGTTTGCATTTCCTGCCTCACTTCTGATGGAACCGACCTTGTTGGTTCCTACCTGCTGTGTTTGGTCAGTTTCCCCCCAAGTACACAGATAAACACCCTTCCGTCTCCTGACGAAAAAGCTTAAGTGTCGGAACTGCTCTCGAGACTCTCGAAGAGCGGTCTCCTGAGGAAGCCCCCGATTTTTCTGTGAACTGACGTTCTTTCATCTTGTTTCACAGATGTGCCAAACGGATTTCACGTTCACTTGGAGAAGATGCCCACAGAAGGCGAGGACCTGAAACTGTCTTGCACGGTTAACAAGTTCCTCTACCGAGACCTCACTTGGGTCCTGCTGCGGACTTCGAACAACCAGACAATGCACCATAGTATCAGCAAGCAGAAAATGGCGGTCGCCAAGGAGTACTCCATGACTCTCAATTTGCTCATCAAGAACGTTTCCCTGGAAGACTCAGGCACCTATGCCTGCCGAGCCCGGAACGTACACACAGGGGAAGAAATCCTTCAGAAGAAAGAAGTTGTCATTCGAGGTGAGCAATGCCACCAAAAGGTTGTTTTCTCTCGGATCTCCAAATTTAAAAGCGCAAGGAATGATTGTACCACACAAAGTCATGTAAAACATTAAAGGACTCATTCGAAAAAGTAGCAGTTGTCTCATATCATCTTGATTTATTGCCAGTGATGGTAACTTTCAGGCTTCGAGGACACGCTCCTCCCAAAACGAATTCGGAGATAGACGTGCTCATGAGAGCCAAGGCCCCCTCTCAGCCTGTGGGCTCCCCGCCCGGGCCGAGGGGTCCCCGCTCTGTGCCGACCTGGTGTGACTTTGAATTTGGAAGATCCCTCTGCTTCATTTCTGGGTCTGCTCTTGCTGTCTTCCGCCTGCTAGACGGCAACTGGGGACCGAGCCTTTCTTCCACTCTGAGGCCAACCTCTTTATTTTCACCTCCCAAAGTTGCACAAACTGAATAAGCGAACCAGATGCTGGTTTCTGCAAAGAAGGACATTGACTAACTGCCTCTGTTAGCTCAGCAGGAGGCCGGTGACATCCGTGGGGACCTCTGCCTGCCTTTATTTTGTGCTGTCTCATCTGTCTTTGATTTGTAAATAGCACCTGGATAGAAAGTTATAATGCTTATTTATTTGAAAATGCTTTTGTGTTTGGTTTTGTTCTGGTTTTTTTTTTTTTTTCACATTAAGCACGTTGGTCTTCAACGGGAACTTCTCAGTGGGGCTCCAGGGGGCGAGATGTTGGTTTAACTCAGAAAGTAAAGCTCTCTCACAACCCGAAGTAGAAGAGTCCAACGCGACCCACGCCACCTCCCTCATCTCCTGCCATCCTGAATTTCCAGCAGAGGGGTCCGGCACAGGGCTGCCTCCGCACGGCCTCCTGGACTGTGGGTGCCGATGGCATCTGAGGAAAAGTGGGCCATGCCTTCGTTTTTAAATATTTCTGTCCCCTTGTTATTCTTGTAAAGGACTTTGTCGTGTTCAAAGGATGACATTCAAAAATGTGCCATGATCAATTCATCCAGGAAATCAAATGAGCAGAGGTCAAATGCAGTCTTCCCAATGTCAGTTTACAGTGGGTCCATTAAAAAGACAAAAAAAGTTCACTTTCTCCACTCTCAAAGGCTGATAGTGTTCTTTTCATGGGGATTAAGGAATGGCAACAATACAGAAGCAGAAGCCAAAGTGATTTCAAAAGACACTCCGTGGAAGAGATTTTTGTGGGACGCTGACCCTTGAGGGGAAGGTGACGTCTTCCCCCACGTCATTTCATCGTTGAGTCATTGGGGCTTACGATCAATCACTGTGTGTGACTTGCCTATAGGAAAACCAACTCTGATGACCAAAATAGCCAGGGCTGCGAACAGAGCGGCCGGGCAGTTCACTGGGAGGTGACAAATAGGACAGCTTTTCAGGCTTGGGAATTCACCAGACTGTTTCCTCCTGTGTGTGGTACAGACCCTGTCCCACGGCTAAACTTGTCTTTCACGTGGGAATTGCTTTTGTCGAGTGTGAAAAAGTGAACAATAGCATTTCCCCCAATGCCAGTTTTATGGGGCCCCAAATACTCTGAAAACAATTAGTAACCTGGAAGTTGTCAACCCACAGGAAAGAATAATCAATTGTATCTTGAAATTTTACCTATAGCTCTGTGGCCTGGCGTCTTTGTTGGGTTCGAAGCCAGCCTGTGTGTGTCCCTTCAGGAAACAGTGCCTTAGTGCCACAGAACTTGGGGGCCTCGGCTCTCAACTCAAGCTAAAAAAAGCAAATGGAATGATTTAGGGGCTGCTCGTGGACAAATGGCCGGTCGGACATGCAGAACCTACTGTTTCCTTCCTCTGAAAATTGCAGCAAGCAGTTTTCATGGGGAAGCGGAGGATGTTAGAGTTTACAGGAGATGACTTTCAATATTTCCAAGAGGTGATTTTAAGAATTTCATGGAGTAATTCATTGTTCAGTGAGTAATGAATCCTTTCCAGAGAGTTTTAAAAAAATGGAAAAGAAAGAAACAATTGGGCAAGTCCTATTTATTTATTTTTTCCCACTTGTTGTTGTTTTGGGTGTGGAGTGGGGTAAGGTTAACAGGGAAAAACAGAAATGGGGAGGAGCCCTAATTAGGAAGAACAGTTGAGATGGAGTACGGGGGTGAGGCTGGTTCCTTACTTAGTCCCCATTCCAAATGGAGAATAGAAACTGGATTTATGAGACTTGGAAGTCACTGCAAAGGAAAGAAGGAACCCGGTGGGAGCTCTCTTTGGCTAATAATAACCAGCAGGAATATCCCGTGAATTTGGATTTTTGTCAATGGGAAGGGATCGGCCGCACATGGTTAAAGTTTGGAAATCAGCTAGCTCCTTCCATCAAGCACTGAGGTTTTAAAGTCTGCTTTCACTGTGCTTTGCTGATTTCAAATGTCAAAATAAATGACTGTAATGTGTAAGGTGGGAATTGACAAAATGGGATTCCTTTCGGTGGATTCCTGTATCAAGCTGATCACTGAGAAACCAGCCAAAAACGAGACTCTCCAACAGAGGAGAAATGGGTACAAAGAAAAACAATATATGTATGTGACACTGGATGCCTCACACATGTCCCTGTGAGCCTTGTGTTCTGTTTAACTGATTGTCCCGGGTTTCATCTGCAGACTTTTTGCTGCTGCTCCTGTGTGACGTTTGTGATGGGCAGACAGGGCCTTTGGGAGTCCTTCCTGATACTATGTTAAATACAAGGTCCTTGGCCGTGTTGGCATTGTATGCTGGTCAGGGAAATCCAGATGCTGTCTGTGTTGACAATATGATTGTTGGTAGCTATGAAAAGAGCCCGGATGCTATGAGTCCTATAATCAGACCTCCTCTTTACAACAAGGCTGATGGCTGATGACAGCTCGTTGCATCATCCTTAGGGCACGGGAAATAGTGATTGTGCTAGCCAAAGCTGTTAGAAGTCTAACTCAGTGAACTGGACCAAAGTCTTAAAGGACATAGAGCCAAGTTGGCGTGTTGTAATAGACACCAAGTAGGACCAGGTTGCTGTTCTTGACCATCTTGCCGTGTTTCCCCCATCTGTGTGGGGCCTCTGTGATGCAGAAATATCCATATCGTGATGAGGCATGTATAGGTAAAAAGTCATTTGACAGACTGCACAGAGGGCCAACACGGGAGTACTTTCATGGTCCTGCCTCTTGGGGGCGAGATAGAGCAGGAATTGTCTGGGCGCAGGCTAAAGGAATGGTGCTACCATTTCTTCCACATTGGGTGGGAAGAAGGTTTTATAAAACCAGAGCATCCCTTTAGCACTCGTCTTTGCTCTGGACGTCATCCTGTGTGCAATGAGAAAAGACTGATCATGGGCTGTGGAAATCTAAATGGAATGAGAAGCTTGTTTCTTCTAGTAGATGGTAACCCTGCCATGTTAGATAGACCACTTCCAACATGTTATCTAAGCTGTATGGTCATATCTGTTTAACTGAAAAATTTGACACTGCTTTAGTGAGTGCTAACCCTGATCCCTACAGGAAGGAAGGAGAGAGGTTTTGGGCTCAGCAGACTCCCACAGGGAGTCAAAGACACAGGCTTTCATGGCGGTAGCACACTAAGATGGGGACATGAGGCTCATCAGAGAAAGCCCAGATCATTGAAACCAGTCACATGTAGGATGAGTAAGGGCCACCAAAACACTATTGACTTCTCTTCTAGGATTTGTGACAAGGCCGAGGGTGCAGAGAGGGATGGTTTGGAAGGGCGGGAATGACACTAGGGGTTGTTTTTATTCTTTGACCTTGGAAGCTTGGGCTACCCATCCAGTATCCACCTAACCAGAATGTCTATACATCAGCCGGACTGACTTTAACTACTTGGTTCAGTAGAGACACTGTACTCATTGTGGGCTTTGGGGTCACTACTGCTCCTGTGTGGGATTTCAGTGTTGTAATGTATTGCTTCCTAATGTATTAAATTCATTGTGTTGTACTATATTGGTTGGCATTTTATTAAAAGAAATTGTATTGTATCATATGTGTATGTTTTAAGAGAAAATAATATAAAATATAATATTTGTACTATTATATAGTGCAAAAATGATGAATCTGTGCCTTGTCTCTGACTTAATTCCCTGGACTTGCATGTGGGGAGGGACAGGAGGAAGGAAATACTCAGTAAAACTCAGTAAAGTCCTAGAAAATCTGCATCACCTGATGCTTGACAATTTAGGTGACTGACGGTTGAGTAACACAAACACACCCACACAAACACATGACACGAAATTGTGTTAGCCTGCCATTACAATATCAGGTATTGATGGGAAAATCCTCTACAAGCCTATATACAAAACCATGTTCTATGCAGAATCCCTGGGTTTTAGAAAAGTGTATTCCCCAGAAAAAGAATGGAAATGAGGTTCAAATTGGAAAATAGAGAAATCAGTTCTCGATTCTGTCCTAACAGATTTCAGTTTCTTGTCACAAGTTATCGAAAAGGAAACACTGTATTAACCATGAAGGGGGAACTTGGGGAACAAATAACAGATGAAAACTTACAGTTGGCTTTTGCTGTTCCTGTACTTATATAAAATGTTGCTTTGCACGTAGACTAGAAGACTAAGACTGTTGAGTAACCACCGTCCCATTTCTTCATCCATTAGATCAGGAAGCACCGTATCTGCTGCGAAACCTCAGTGACCAGACGGTGGTCATCAGCAACTCCACCACTTTAGACTGTCACGCCAAAGGGGTGCCGGAGCCTCAGATCACCTGGTTTAAAAATAATCACAAAATACAGCAAGAGCCTGGTAAGAGATTGGGTTTTCCTTGAGTTTACTCTTTCTCATCCCATCTGCACACAGGGCATGGGGGCGTCCTCTGACCACCTCTGACGTCATGAGGGGGGAGAGAGAATCTCCATCAGCAGCATCAGCTCAAGGCCGATTGCTATGAGGTGGAGGCAAACATGCCACCACCTTCTTACTCATTTGCCAATTCTGACACCAACCATCCCTCCCATGACAATCTCTACTTCTCTGCTGGGTTTGGTGATTCATTGCAGTGGCCACACAGAACTCACAGACAATACTCATGATCATGGGGTTTCTTAGGGAAACAACAAGTTACAATTTGGGCTCAGGAACACGCTCAGGATACAGTTCTTTGATCAGGACAGTCTGCACTCAGCCATGCCCACAGGCATGCCTCTCTGTGGCCCTTGACCTCTCAGCCTGACCTCTGCCCTGCTCAGGCAAGTGTGTTACAAAGCTCTTTGAGCTCTGCCAACAGGTGTACCCCACTCCACCAGCAAGCCTTCTGCCCAGAGGCACTCAGCGTTCTCACTCTGTGGGCTGGCAAGCTTGCTGCTCTGTCTCTTGCTCGTCTTTAGGTTCTGCTGCTGCCGCCATTTCTCCGCACAGGAACCTCAGATCCAAGGATGCCCTCCACTCCTGCTTCTTTTCTCTTGATGGCAGTAAGAGCCTCATTTTCTGCCTCTGGGATGGCTCATTTTAAGCCTAATGAGATGGGAAAACTGACCAATCCCAACATTAGGGTGCCATGCATCTTATTTGCATGGCTCTGGTAGCGTAGTGCCTAAGGCACTTGATTGCTGACCAGAAGGCTGGCAGTTCAAACCCACCAGCCACTCCTCGGAAGGAAGATGGGGCAACCTACTCCCATGGTGATACTGCCTTGGAAACCCAAGGAGAGGTCGCTATGAGTTGGGTCTGACTCAATGGCACATAACAACAACAACAACAACCCTCACAAGGGTGCCATGCATCTCATTTACATAGTTAGCAAGCTGTCCAGTCCCCTTGGTGGGTCATGGGGTGGGAGAGGGCTCACATTTGCATGGTCCCACCCAGTTATCGGGTGGAGTCACAAAGATCATGGCTAGAAGAGCCATACCAAGTAATTCCCTGTACCACTTCCTCCCTCCCCCAGCATTCCTATCGTCTCCTTCCAGTATTTCTAGAATCATTTTCTGAAACAGTTGAAAATTCTTGGGCTCTGGTTCATTCTTGTATCAACTTACAATGAAGGATAATTGGGCCAATTCTTTCTTTTTTTTTTTTTTTAATTTTTTTTGGATTTGGGTGAAGATTTACGGAGTAAATTCACTTTTCATACAGCAGTTCACATATACTGTCTCATGTCATTGACCAAAATTTACAATGCAGCAGCTCCCCTCCCACTTCCTCCCCATAGTTACCTCCTCCCAGTGTCCATCCCTTCATACTCTTCTGCACCCTGAGCTATCTCCCTGTGCGTAAGCAGCCCTTCCTTCTCCCATGATTGTTCTCTCCAGGGCGTGTGTCTACTTGAGGTAAATGTTTAACTCCCAGACCTGAAGGGCAGCTAGGGGCCATAGTCTCAGTGGTTACATCAGGCTCTATTGGACCAGAATTGGGCCAATTCTTATGTAGACCATATTCTTCTCCTTATAGAAAGACCCTTCCAGAATCTGCTCAACTGGAATATACCACTTTAAATAAAGAATTCAGGGGAAGAATGGTCAGAGCCACTTAGCAAATGTTGCAGTTCAGCTTGACAACTGGACAGGGAGGGCTTGGTTTCTGGACTTGAGGTCCAGTAGAGCTTTGAGCATTCACCATAATGAAGATATAATCATAATGAATTTATAATCTTTCTAATTCGTCTACAGCAATCTTAGTTGTATGATAAAAATAAGAATCTTCAAAACCACATTTGTCTTAAGGGTCAAAGAAAATCTAAACTAATGCTTATGAGCTTTCTCTCAACAATAAATATTCTTGAAAACGTCTAGACTGAAACTTTCCGAAAGCTACTCACGGACTTCAGTTGGATAGGAATTCTAGTAAGAGTATTGTCTGTTGCCTTCCACATAATTCTATGGTTAAGTAAAGGTAAATTGGACTTAAGTAGAATTTTAATTAATAATTCTACTTATAATAAAAATAAGCAGTCTGTTTATTTGCAATATTCCATCCATCTATGAAGACTGGCGGTTCAAACCCACCAGCCACTCCTCCAAAGGAAGGTTGGGCAATCTCCTTCCGTAGTGATAACACCTTGGAAACCCAAGGAGGGGTCACTATGAGTCAGCTACAACTCGATGGCAGTGAGTTTGGGTTTTTTTTTTTTTTTTGAGTTATGGAAAGCAAATAAATGGCCATGTGGAATGGCCCTTGGTTCCTTGTCCTCCAAAATGCAACCTCCATTTGAATTTGTTCCACAGAATGTTAAGATATGAACAAAGGGCTTAGAAAGACCTTACACTCAACAGGTCCAAAACTATCACAGTGCATCGTTTTTTCTCCTTCAAGTAAGACCTTCTCTTGTACTAACATCACATATTTAATCATCCAAACTTGAAGGTGATGGCCTCTCCTTGACCCTCCTCATTTAATCAGTCGCCAGGTTGAGCAGGTTATAACTGCTAAAAATTGCTCGATTCCATCCCTTCCTCTGCTTCCTGTTGTCATTTCTTGGCTCAAGTGCTCATCACCTAGCACCTGAACTTGTGCAGTAACTTCCTGACTGGTCCTCCACCTCTCTTTTCTCTTCTTTGCATCACTTTTGCACACAGCAATTATTGACACAGCTTTGAACATCTCTCTTCCCTCCTCCCAGTCTCCCATTGGCTCTCTGTCACAGCACGAAGTCCAAGCACGAGTGAGAGAAGCCCCTTAGCAAGTGGCCCCTGCCAGCCCCCACCACTTCATGCTCTCCACCCCTGCCTTATGCTTTGTGTCCTGCAATGCCCAGCTCTCAGGGATCCTGCACATGTTGCACTGCCAACCTCCGGTGCTTTTGTTCCTGTGTCCCCTTTGCCTGGAGTACCTTCCCTTCATCTCATGCGTCCCCATCCCTTAAGACCTAGATCGTGTGTCCTCTTCTCCAGAAGGGCTTTCTCAACTCCTGCAAAGAAGGGATCTCCTCTATGCTCCTGTATTACTGAAGACTATTCCTCCTTCTCTCTTACTGTGTTGCTTTATAATCATCCCTTTATATATGAGTCGGGGCCGACTCGATGGCACATAACAACAACAACAATATACGTGTCTGTGTTATCTATGTATATTTCTACTACTCTCTGCCTGTGAATCTTCCATTCATGTATGCCTTTCCCCCTTGAGAGCAGGTATTGAATCCTATTTGCCTGATTTGTATCTAACTTGTCTTTATGCCTCCATAACCCAGCCTGGTGCTTGGCAATCAATAACTGTTTCTTGAATGAATGAATGGTTTTCAGAAAATGTTACTGTATACTTAGCAAGTTCACTTGGTAGCAGACATACCTGGACTTGAGGTGGGGTTATGTTGTTAGGTACTGTGAAGTCAGCTCTGAATCATAGCAACCCTGTGTACAACAGTCAGGTCTGAATCATGGCAACCCTGTGTACAACAGTCAGCCCTGAATCGTGGCGACCCTGTGTACAACAGTCAGCCCTGAATCGTGGCGACCCTGTGTACAACAGTCAG